CTATCCAGAAACACTACCTCCTACCCCTCCCGCCGCCGTTCTCAGTTACTCCCTTCCCATTCACTAAGTCTTTAGCTCACAAGACACCCTTTCCAATCAAGCTTATAAGGTCATCTGTTTGGCTTAGAATTTTCAGTTTTATCCCAATTACAAAGAGCATAGTTGGTACTCAAGGAATATTTGTGGGACACCTGGGTGGCTCATTCAGTCGGTTGAGCATCAGACTCTCGGTCATGATATCGGAGTCATAAGATCAAGCCCTGAGTCAGGCTCTGTGCTCAGCGGGGAGTCTGCTTGGGATTCCTTCTGCCTCTCCCTCTGCCATTCTCCCTGTTCACGCACACACACTCTTTCTCTCTCTCTCAAATAAATAAATAAAATCTTAAAAAATTTTTTTTGCTAAATGAATGAGTGAATAAATGAAACCTGGGGCATGGAGAAGGAGGCAAGTTGAGGTTCAAGTCTCATTTTTGGGTTATATCCTTCCCAGTTTAGCAGACACTGATAAGGGTACAGGATAGGCTGAATCTCATCCGTGGATGATTATTATTATCCCCACTTTACAGCTCACTCAAAATTATAGTTAGTAAGATGTGGAACTGGGCTTTAAAAATCCATGTCTGGGGGCGCCTGGGTGGCTCAAATGGTTAAGTGTCTGCCTTCGGCTCAGGTCATGATCCCGGGGTCCTGGGATCGAGCCCGCATCGGGCTCCCTGCCTCTCTCTCTCTCTCTCTCTCTCTCTGACTCTCATGAATAAATAAATAAAACATTTAAAAAAAAAATCCATGTCTGATAGCACAGCCCATGTTTTTAACTGCCAAAAAACACTGCCCTCCTGGGTGCCTGGGTGGCTCAGTTGGTTAAGCGACTGCCTTTGGCTCAGGTCATGACCCTGGGGTTGTGGGATTGAGTCCCACATAGGGCTCCCCTGCTCTGTGGGGAGCCTGTTTCTCCCTCTCCATCTGCCTGCCACTCCCCCTGCTTGTGCTCTCGCACTCTCTCTCTGTCAAATAAATAAATAAAAAATCTTTAAAAACAAAACAAAACACTTCCCTCCTGAACAACATAGCTTGCAGTTAAAAGACAAGGTTCGTACAGCCTACTGCATATAAGTATTCTGAATAATTTCCATAGCGTTGACACATGATTTTGTCATATAATACAAGCAGTAGGGAATTCTCAAAGGAAACAGAAAACTATTTTTCCCCACAGAGATATAATTAAAAGAATATAGTGAAGACCAAAAAAAATCCAAAACATCTATTTCCAGATTTGTGGGGAATCACTGGATATAGAGACATTTTAATTAAGACTATTTCTGTATGATAGAATTTCAAGAATGGAAAGCACCTGAGAGGAGGAGACAATTCTCATGCAGCTCTATCTGTGCAGGACTCTCAATTAAGGCACCTATGATTTGTGGGCTGAATCTAACCCACTATCTTGTTTTTCTGATGGCCCATGAGTTAAGAGTTATTTGTAACAGCTGAGAAAAAAAATCAGACTATTTCATGATACATAGAAATTATATTAAAATTTCAGTGTCCATAAATGAAATTTCATGGGAATACAGACCTACTCATTTGTCTACGTGCTGTCCCTGCCTGCTTTTATGTTACAGCAGCAGAGCTGAGTAGTTACAACAGAAACAATAAAGCCAGTGTTGGCTAAAATGGTGACCATCCGGCCCTTACAGAAAAAGTTGGCCAACCCACTATAGATAATTTCTTCTGGCTTATCTTTCAGTTCACTAACACAGTCTTCAGTTGTATCTAATCCTGTTTAAATCCTACTGAGTTTTTAATTTTACTTAATGTTTTTCAATTCTAGAAGTTTTGTTTTTCCAAATCGGATATTTTGCTTTTTATAATCCCCTAACCACGTATATAATACATAATTCAATCTCGTCCTTATTTCTTTAAATATAGTATATCTAATTGCTTTATCAATTGTGTTTGGTAATTCTGATTTCACAAATCTTTGCAGGTCCCCCTCTGTTGTCTGGTGTTTTTCATGGTTCTCACTAATGGAGCCTTATTTCCTCATGTGCTTTACTGTTAGCTGTTCATTTCCTTGAAAGGTTATTTGCAAGGAGCTCACGTCTTCCTCCAGAGCAGGCCTGCATTTGCCTCTGCCAAGACCTTGGTGGCACTGCCAATCTGTAATACCTTAAACTCTTAAATACTTAAAAGTTCACCACTTGAGGTTCCATAGATCACCTGGCTGTGAATATCAAGTATTGCTTGTTTATTAACTTATTGCCCTGATCCACTCAGAGTTCTGGCAACCTTTTCTGGTTGAGGGGTGCAGGTTTCCTTCTAGTTCCTCCTATGCTGAGTCCTTTGGGGTTCTAGTTTAATGTGGAAAGGATCAAAAGATGGAAAATAGGGAAGAGATATTAGTAGACCCGGAGGCTAGAAGGTGAAGGTCTAACATTTAAACTCTGATTAAAAGGGAGTAGAGAGAGAGTGGGCAGAGGCAATATTTAAACAGATAATGGCTGAAAAATTTCCAAAACATATGCACTCCTATACTCCAGAAGTATAGTGACAGATGGTGGCTACATTTGTGATGAACAAAGCATAACATATGGACTCTTCAAATCACTATGTTGTACATCTGAAGCTAATGTTACGTGGTGTGTCAGCTATATTTCAATTTTAAAAATAAATTCTGTAAAAAAAATTGTTTAATTTAAAAATTAAATATTTAAAAATCTAAATGAATCCAATCAAGACAAATAAAAAGAAATTCTTACATTTATAAATTTATTCATACTTCATACAAGCCTTTCTTCTATTCTTCCTAAGAATCTTGGGAGGTAGGTATTATTACCTACATTTCTTCGTAAGGAAAAACTGGTATTCAGAGAACTAAGACAAATTATCTACAGTCATGTAATTCTAAGCAGCAGGGGCAGAATTCAAACCTAGTTCTTCTGACTCAAGTTCAGGTTCTTTCCTGTACATCAGAAGTAGAACATAACAGAGCAGAAGGTGACTTCGTAAGAGGAGATCCACCCACTGCTAAGGGATCACCTCCAGAACTCAGAACCCTGAACTTGGAAACTTTTCCCTGGAAGCAGGTAAAAATCATTCCCACACAGCTGTGCTTTCTTCTGAAGATAAGCACCGGACTGGAAAAGTCTTTGCAATTAGAGGCAGGAACATTCTAGCTTGTACCTTAACTTGTGAGTTATTCCCCGGGCTAAAGACCAAGTTGAACTCAAATGCTTCATGGGCCTAGCCTGGGATGCAAGAGCAAGCCGCAAAACAGCCCACTGTGTACCAGCCAACTGTCAGGACAGCAGGACAGGAGCGTCCTCCTAATTCCTCTCCCCACGCTGCTGGAGACAGTTTAAATACTGTAGTTAATTAACATGTCCTAGGTAACATGCCTTTTGTTCATCAATGTGACTTGACTTGGTAAATTACTACATCTCTTCCATTCTGGTGACATTCCACTTGTTTACAGCTTATACTTGATTTCTTTTTCGCCCAGAGCACTAAATTAAGAATCTTTCTAAGGGCGATGCCTATGGCTTTCTAACCTAATTGGGCCCCATTCCCCAGATGTTAACATGTGGCTGACATCTCTCCACTAGCCTGGTATAAAGAGCAGACCATCCTTCCCTTGGGGCTGCCTCAGCGATGTATAAAAGCTGGGAGAATTACAATGCCTGAACTCACAGTAAGAGGCACAAGAACCACAAAGCCAGAGGCCAGGAAACAGCCCAAGGCTAGACAATTCAGTGGGAAAGCCAGAGAGCCCCAGATTCGATGTCTTGTGTGTAGGAGCAGTCATCACCATCACAGGCAACTACGGTCAAGGGCTCATGCAAGAGAGGAAAGCAAGGAGACACAATTCCCATTTTTCACGTCCGTCTGGTACAGAGCAGGGGCCACGGGTGTACAAAGACGACTGACAACCGAAAGGAGTTACAGGCAGTTTTGCAACCATTTACTGCAGATCAGCCATGCGAGAGGTGCCATACAGCGCATGAGCACACAGAATGGATGCAGCCCAATCTCGAGGCATCCTAGCCTAACTGGGGAAGGGCACAGTCATCCACCTATCCTTTGTGCATCCATCCATGCAACCACGGTCCGGGTTTACCAAGCACCTCACAAAGATACGCCAGCATTGGCTAGGTGCTAGGGAGACCAGGAAGGCCAGAACAGGGGATTAGATACTCTGTACTTGGAAACCCCTATGAATTAATCATTTCAATTGAATCCTTACACTAACCCTGTGAGGTAGGCATATTGGCATATTCACCTTACAGATGAAACTGGGCTCAGAGTGGTTCAAGAGCTTGCCCCAAATCACAAAGAGAGTAAATGGCAATCCGGGATTTGAATCAGCCAGGCCTGGCTCCAAGCCGGTGCTCTTAATAAATTGATAATTATTACACAGTTGGTTACAGTACGATGAGATCATTGGTGACAGAGGGACAAAATTCACAGGAAGCATCAAGGAGGAGATCGTGAATTTTGTGTAGGGAAGAGGTGGCCTTTGAGTTTTCCCAGGTGAGCAGCAAGGAAAGGGCAGTGCAGGCACAGATAAGAAGCCCATGCCAAGGCAGAGGAGAATGGAGGGTTCGCCTGTGGCAGAGGGATAGGAGGTAGCGCGGGAGAGGAAGTCTGACCACGGAAGGCTTTGCACGCCAGGCTGCAGAGCATCTTTGCCAGGCCTCTGCCTCCTGCTGTAACTCAACCATCCTCTGCTCTGTAGCAGAAGCCTTTCCGGGGGCCTCCTTGTCCCTCGAACCTGGCAGGAGCTGCCTGTGCCAGCCAAATCAAAGGCTTTATGTTTGCACCCACAATCCCGTCCTCTCTGGGCCCCTACAAACGGTACAAGAGTCTGCTGACAGACTGAGGCCAGAGGCCCCAGGGAGTCCCCCAACAGACACAGAACGGAGCAGGTGACCCTTCAAAGTTGGACCCCAGCTCCCAGAGACATCTACCACAGAGTTAAGGCGCCTTCTCATTCTACTCACAGTTTAGAGTCCAGCTTCAGGAGGAAACCCAACCGATCATACTCTGAAAAAGAAAAGCAGGAAATGTCACTGAAGTCAAGCCACTGTTGACACTTGCAGACTGCACTCCCCAGACACAGACCATGGGGACAGACAACTGCTCAAGGAACAGAGCCAAATACATGAGCCACGACTAAATCTAAGTCACAGAACTCCTGCTGAACACCTGTTTTATGAAGGACCAGGTTCAATGCCAGGTGTTTCCCAGACCCTCTGGGCCCACGGTCCTATGCTGGCTGTAACTGCCTTCCTGTTTAAATGTGGTACTTGACTGAAATTTACTTAAACCACAAAACCGGACCCCCGGAGAAGTAACAGGGCCAGAAGCAATCTCTGCTTCCTCTAAGCTCGAATCATAATTTTTGCTGAAGCAGCCGTGTTCACTACAAAGTGAAGGCGTGGCAGCCAAGGGGTCTTCAAATCCATGGCAATGAACCCATCCTCTTCATGACAACCACAAAAAGCTGACAGTTCTGATTACATAAAGAGGAGGAAACTAAAAATGAAGTCTGAAAATAAGTTGTAAGATGTTTACGACAAATGATAAATCATGAATAGGTTAAGTTCTTTACATCTTTCCTCATTCTAAAATGAAGCTGAAGCGGTTTTACAAAGTTGTATGAAGTACAAGATTTTTAAAAAGAAGGTATCTGGGACCAAAGGAGGAAATAAGCATAAGAAAAATAATAAAATACAGCCAGGATAAGAATACCAAAACCGGATGACCTATAAGGTCCTATGTGCTCGCTGGAGGAAGATTATAGATTTACCCCCAAAATTTCTCACAGCTAAAGCTAAATGCGAAGCCCTGATAAAATGGTTTCCAGTGTTCATAAAATAAACCAGCAGAATCACAGCTATTCCTGCTACTAAGACTTGAGAAGTGTCATAAGATTATTTCTTATATCTTTGTTCAAGGATTGCAAAGTGTGTGTGTGTGTGTGTGTGTGTGTAAAGAGTGACTACATCAAAATAAGGCAGCCTATGAATGCAGTTCTCAGTCGGGCTGGCTTCACCTGAGGATAAAACAGAATACCAAGACCAAACAACTAATGGAAAAGACCATGTAGCAAGGCTTTTGAGGAACTCAGGCTTTAATAAGCCACGATGGGCCAAGAGAAGGAAGTTACACATCCTGACAAGTACCTCGCAGGAGCCATTCTGCAAGGCCGAGTAAAGCCCAGATTTGAACTCTTTCTTAAGCAGCAGAGCTGCAGTGAGAGAGTAATTCCTCTTCTTAAAATTGAAGATACCAGCTAGGACACACAGCCCAACAGAAGCTTGCCTCCCAGGAGAATACTCTTGGGCGGTCAAAGCCTTTCCTCAAAATAATTCTGCTTTTGCTCTAACTCAGATAAATGGATGGGAGACTTTGCTTAATATGTCAGGAACCTATAAAAGTCAGTAAGAAAAAAAAGGTTTCAATTTTAAAAATAAACTGAAAACAAAATTTGCAAGAAGGGTTAGTTTCAAAGGTTAACACTCTTCCAGCAATCCTATTTATCATTCCATAAAAAAAGAAAATCTCATTAACTTGCCCACATCTGTTGCTTTTCCCCCATGTGCTCATAACCTTGGGGCAACTAGTCTGCTACTGCTCCTCGGACCCGAGCTAGGATGCCCTTGGACATACAATGAATCCACGCTTTGGCTGGTTCCTTCCAGAGATACCAGAGAACATTTTCCCCTTGTTGCAAACTCAGATGTCAGGACCACGCAAGGACATAACACAAATGAGGGAAGGAGGGGGAATGTGATACTCTCCCATAGTAACTCATACTACTGATTTTAGTTGCATTAAAAACAAATCCTGTTGAAATGTCTTTTTTTCACCATGCATTTTTGTACAGTGGCCATAATGATATATCTATGGATTATTTTCCAGTGGCATCTTAAGTTTTGTTTTACACATGCATATACTAATTGCATATTAAATAGATAAGAACACTTTGCATTTCTAAAGAAATTCCCTTGATGGCTCTCTTGGACTGTTGTTTTCTCCCTTAAGAGACGTGAGTACCAGAGGTATTTCATTTTACTCTGTAATTTAAGGAAAGGTAACGGCGTGAGCCCAACAATGATAAATGGCAACTGACATTGCCTTTGGGTCACAGAGCCAAGAGGGAGTGGAGCCCATCTGGAGACTCCATGCCTTGCCGAAGGGGGAGCATCCACCGGCGCCAGCTAACAAAGGCAGGCAGTGATGCAGGCCCAGCGTTGCCACATTCTGACTTTTTTTTTTTAAGCCAAGAATCTGGATCTTTGAAGGTAAATCTTCTCAATGTGTAACTATTAGCAACAGATTCAAGAAAAACGTAAAGATCATGAGAATTACCCAAAATACGTCCATGGGCAGGATTCAGCCAGGGGGCTCAGGGTCTATAAACTCTGTCCTAGGCTGGCAGCCCATGAGGACTGGACGCATTTCTCTTTCGTGGCTGCACACAGTAGATGCTCCATAAATATTTGCTGACTGTTATTACCCGGATTATTTGGTCACGATGGTCATATATCCAGATCAAATTAGTCTAACACGATGCTAAAAAGAGTATTTCAGGGGTGCCTGGGTGGCTCAGTGGGTGAAGTGTCTGACCCTTGATTTCGGCTTGGGTTGTGATCTCAGGGTCGTGAGATCCTGCTCTGAGTCAGGCTCTGCACTGGGCGTGGAGCCTGCTTAGGATTCTCTGTCTCCCTCTGCCCCCCTCCCCCATTGCTCGCTCACTCGCTCACTCTCTCTAAGAAACAGTATTTCAGCCAAGCCTCTGGGATGATAACTTCCAGACACTAAAGTGAGGTTCTAGACTGAGATGTAAATTTTCAAGGGAAATATCTGAAAGCTTGTTACGTAATTCGAAAGGCCCTCCCTACATCAGTTATAAAAGTAACTGGCTCTGAGCAATTAAGGAGGGAGGATTTGAACAGCTTCCCTGGAGACAGCAGTGCTATGGACTCCATCTCACTTAAGGGGCAGGATGGGTAGTACTTGTCTCTCCCTCCCGCCTGGTGAGGGAAGTTTCACTTTGACCCTTAAAGAGTGAGGAACGTGGTGGACTTTGGGTGCCTGACTTCCACCTGACCAGTGTAAAGGACACGAGTTGGGCTGGATGGAAGGAGAGATGCACTAGAACTGGCCTGCACCCCTAGAATTTGTTGTAGAAAAGGATGTGTGAATGAGCTGGTGTGGGTTTGTTTTAGGTCCCTTCCAAAACACCTGTCCAGAGGGTGGCCAGGGCCGCAGCAGAGAGCAGTGGGGCAGACACCGAGTCCCAGGAGCTGCAGAAGGAATGACAAGGTTCTGGTGAGTGCATTGTCCCCATCAGGGGAACTGCACAGCAGAGGTCCCCCGTTGGAGGGGGTCTTCAAATGCCTACCAGAGCACCCCACAAACGTTAGCTTTAAACACTCAACAGCTGAGACAGTGCTAACGGCATCTTAGGGCTTTTCTGCTCCCATTCTCTCTCTCCCTTCCCCACCAATTCCAGAGAGGTCAGAAACTGCAGGCAGCATCTGGGGAGGACTGCAAGGAGAAGGCCAAGCAGGGCACATCCCCTTCCCAGGGTCAGGCACCTGCTGGTACGAAGCCCTGAGTGCAGGGAGGGGAGGTCACTGTAGCTTTGAATGAATTGAAAGCTATGGCTATTACATAAGGCTGGATACTCTAATTTTGGAATTGGTGACTCCATGTGACCATGGGATTTTTATTACCTCAGCGGTATCAAAAAATTCTCTGGACCTCCCACACTGAAAACACTTTAAGGGGACACGGGGAGACAAAATGAATCCGGCTTTGATTATTCCCTGATGTGTCTTGAATGTTCAATATACTGGTTGTACTAATTTAGGCAAAAAGGGCAATTTAACGGTTCACACAATCGAAGTGTGGAAAGGGCCAGGGTGCAGAGGGCTTCAGGGACCACAGAAAGTGACTAGAACACCACTGGGCCTCCCTGAGCCATTACTCTCCCCGACCGGCTTCCTTCCTGTCAGAAAACATGCTGCCAGCAACTTTTAGGCACACATCTTCAGCTTTGCCTCTGAAAATGGACAGAGACTCCATCTCTCTGCTCCTAATGGCAAAACTCCCAGGAAAGGGCCTGGTGTGCATCCGTTCCTCACGCCTGCTCTCATCACCGTGACAGGAGACAAGGATTATAAAAAATCATGATTCCCACATGACACGTGTGGTTAGGAGCATTTACCAGAAGAAGGAATGTGCTGTCCTGAACAAATGCAGGCTCTCGGGAACGGGAGGAAGTCTTTGGAAAACTCAGAGCTGGCTGAATCTCCTGGATACAATAGGTACGGCCACAGACTACCTGAAATGGGCCACGGTTGAAATGGGCAGTGGACTTTTTTCCTCTCATCCTCATTCCGCTGTGGGATTTTTCCTCCCCTCACCAATCTCCTAAAATCATTCTCATAATGCCCTCTGGCTCACCTCCCTCTGCTTCCCAGCAGCCCTGAAGCCTGGCTCTGCCGTGTGAGACCTCGCTTTTCCTGCAGCTCTCAAGGGGAGGCTTTCCTCTCAAATGCCAACTTCTGGCAGACACGAGGGGGGAGTACGGATGATGTGCTGTGGTGCTGTTTTCATCACCTTTCTTGTGTTTGGGGTTCACTGATATGTGATATCAGTGAAAATGGATAGATCCATTTTCTTGGATCTATCGGTTTATGGTTTTAACCAAATCTGAAAAATTTCTGGCCATTATTTCTTCAAAAATTTTTTTGCTCTCCCCTCTCTTCAGGGGGGTTCCAATGACACAAGTATTAGGCCGCTGGACATTCTACCACTCACTGATGCTCTATTCATTTTTTTCCCAGTAATTTTGCTCTCTGTATTTTGTTCTAGATAATTCCTATTGAAATATCTTCTAGTTCACCACTCTTATCTTCTGCAGTGTCTAACTGCTTTCGGTTCAGTATAGTTTTCATCTCAAACACTATTTTTCATCTCTAAATTTCTTTTTTTATATCTTATATATCTTCCCATAATATTCTGTTTTC